GGACTCCTGGGGCCATGCGGGTCCTCCCCTGGATTGGTCTTCACACACTGGCTTGCTCTGCAGAAGTCCTCATTGGTGTCTGCTTGCTCCCCCACTGGATAGGGTTCCTCCGGCCTCCTCCTCAGGAGGTCCTGAGCTGCTCTGCCCCCTGCTGCTGCCTCCCAGCCCTTGCTTAGGGTCCCGCACCTCAATTTCAGGAGGCCAAGTCACTCCAGGTCCATGGGTCTGCAGGAGTTGGGTAGGCAGTGGGTGCTGTCCTTAGCCACCATGTGAGGGCCTTTTTCTCCCCTCTAATAGAGATGACCCTAGCTGTGAGCCACAAGGTCTAGACAAGAAGTGGAGGGGACACTTTGTGGCAGTGGGCCTGGGAAGGCTGGCCTTGTGTGTGAGTCTGTAGTTTGTTCTAGAGCAGCCAGTTCTGGAAAACCCACAGGCAGTCTACTCAAAAGGTATAGAAGGCCTCATTGGAGACAAGATGTGGAGATACAGCCATGAGCATGAGCAGGAATGGGAGGAAACAAGCTCCGGGAGGCCCTTGTCTCTCAGCAGCCCCACTGCCACACATCACTGTCCATGCGGCCCCCCAGCAACGCCCTGTCCCCTCAACTGTATCATTTTCATACCTGAGGATGCAGAGCAGGGTATGAGGTTGCCCAAATTCAGTCACTCTGGGCCCTCTTTGCATTGTTGTCATAGCCATGTGCTACGTGGACCATTATTTGCTGTGCATATTGGTTTAAGTGGAATTGACTAAATATTTTTAAAAATATATTTATTTAGGAGAGACATTTATGTCCTTCTGTTAAATGAAAACCAACAATGGCACTTTAAGAAATGCCATAAATAGAGAATGGCTAGAAGATTAACATGGCAGCAGGGTGGAATATTAAAATATACTTGGACCCGGGTATGGTTGCACATGCCTGGAATCCCAGTTACTGGGCAGGATGAGGCAGAAGGATCAAGAGTTTTTTAAGGTCAGCCCAGGCAACTTAGTGAGGCCCTATCTCAAAAAAAAAAAAAAAAAAAAAAAAGTCACTGGTGCCTGTTGCTTATTGAAACCTCTCAATCCCACAGCTGTTCTTGACCCTCCATAAGATGACAAGGGGCTGGAGAGGAACAGAATTGGGTGGGCTGCACACCAGGCATGCACCTGGATATGGCCAGCAATGTGGAAGGGGACTGAAGAGGCGGCAGTGGTCTTGATTATTTATCAGAGAGCAGGGCATGTTGCTAGAACCTTTCACATAGACTGGTTTGCTCCTGTGACCGTCTGGACTGGGAGAGTCTGTGTCCCTCTGCAGCACTTGCACAGGAATTCCTGAACCAAAGTGGGCCCCCTTTGGGGACTATGTCCCCACCCATGTGCCGCACTCCAAAGGCACTTAGTAAATGTTTAGGAGTTGGAAAGGCTGGTGCCCTGTGATGCCCAGAGAAAGCGTCTGTCCTGCTCCCGTCCAGCGCCGCCGTAGGTGTCAGCGGTGTGTCGCCGGAAGAGCACAGGAAAGCGCACACCCGAGTGTGAGGCCGTCGGACAGCCCTCCACACCTGTGCCCTGCCGCGCCCTCTGCCTAGGACAGTCGGTGTTCTTTGAACATCAGTGGTTCACGGTAAACCACTGAAATGGTGATTTAGCAAGAGAAGGGATCTCACCCTCCCTCAGATCCAGGCTTTTAGGGAAGCCTCAGATCAAGCTCTGAGGAGGGGGACAGGGAGTAGAGAAACACAGCAAGGAAAGAGATGAGGTGGCATCAGGGTCCCTTGAAACAGCCCTCAGGGTCTCTGTGGGTGGGCTGGGCCTGGCAGGTGTGGCCAGGCCAGCAGCTTCTTTGCCTCACTATACCCTCAGGGATGTCCCTCCCACTCCACCCCCACCATAGGCTCCCTGATAGCACGGGGAGGGGCTGATTCCATGACCCATCAAGCGTGGAAAGCATTATTTTGTTCTATGTCTGGCTGAGGTGCAGCCTAGGGAGCTTTGACATGTCCCCTGGTCCCCACCCAAAGGGCAGGGTCCTGAGGACAGTCCCCAGCACTCCTAAGAGGGGTGAGGTGTCTCCCACTTCCGTGTTTACATGCCAGTCCCTACCCTTAATGGGTAATGTTTAACCAGTATGCGGTGAGAGTCACTCTGGTTCTGGTGGCCTAGGAACCAGGGGAGGGATTTGTCTTCCTCCTTGGGGGCCTGTAAAGGACTCTGAGGTCCCCTGCTACTCACTAGTTTGTTGTCTAAGTGACAATGCACTGTCTTTCCAGGCTCTTATCTTAAGCTGATAGGAAATTCAAGGAGGTATTTTTAAAATTTTTCTTTTAAGCAATTTCTTGGTACCTATAGATACCCTGGGTATGGGCCCCACCTCACTGAAACAGCTATCCCCACATCAGTTATGATTTGTGAATATTTTATAGTGTATAAAAAGGGGAAAGCAACACACAGTTGTAAAATGCTTAAAAAGAGGAGTTGAGTGAGTTGGGTGTCACTAGGGCACTCATCCCATTGGCAAGCACTGACGTAATCATGTGTGCCAGTTTTACCCTGTATTGAAACCTCAGATAGATGGGATTGTGTAATTTTAAGGGCAGATTGGTGCCAGACTTTACTGTGCACACGTATTATTGGAGAACTGGTTAAAAATCTAGACTTCCAGATCTCACTATGATTCATGCATCCAGTTAATATTTATTGAGCTACTACTATGTGTAGGGCTGCCGGATTTGGCAAAAAAAAAACCAAACAAGATACCCAGTTAAACCGGAAAGCTGGATCAACAAGACATAATTTTTTTTTTTTTTTTTTGGCGGAATTTTTTTTGTTGTTGTTGGGGGGATTGAACTCAGGCCTTTGTGCTTGCCAGGGAAGTGCTTATTCTACTGAGCCATCTCCCCGGCCCAAGACATAATTTTTGTATGTCTCACAACAGCTGGGCCTTGTCTTGGTTGCCCGGGCTGTTATACCATAGCATAGTACCACAGGCCAGGTGGCAGGCACACAGTGCAAGGTTATTGCTCTCAGTTTTGAATGCTGGAAATGTACTGCTGCTGAGCTCAGGTAGGGGTTCTCTTCTGGGAGGCCCATACTGACTTCTCCCTATTTCTTCACATGGTGGGGAAAAAAAAAAGCAGCTCTCTGGCTTCTTCTCATATGAGCTTCAGACCTCCCCCAAATCCCCCACCATGCCAGTTCATTGAGCCCAGGATTCCAATATGTGACCAACATTTAGTCAGTCCTCTGCAGACAGGACACTAACATACACCTTGTTGCTTATCTGAAATTCACTCATCAGCGTTACCTCGTTCCTTTGTATAGTTTGTCTGTCCCTGCCTCATGGTCATGGTGATGGAGTTTTCTTTTCTTTTCTTTTTCTTTCTTTCTTTTTTTTCCAGAACTGGGGATTGAACTCAGGCCCTTGCGCTTGCCAGGGAAGCGCTTATTCCACTGAGCCATCTCCCCGGCCCCTGGAGTTTTCCAAATGGGGTTCTATTAGTAGTCTCTTTGAACAACACTCCTCACTCATCGCACAGACAGGGGAGACACCGTAAGACATATGCTGGCTGGCACCTTGTTTCACAGTGGTGGGCATGCAAAGCAGAATGCTGTCACACAACAGTGGGCTGAGCCCACGCAGTTGTCCCGAGTGAGGCAGTATTGGTGGCACAGGTGGGTGGCCTCATTGAGTGGTGTTGAAGCTGGGACAACTGAAACTGAGCTCTTCGTGGTAAGGGACAGTGCCAGCACATCCTTCTGGGCCTTGGGGCCATTGGGACAGGATATCAACTCTATGCTTGGGTCCCACTGGTGAGTTTCCAGACAGCCCTTGTCCCCAAGAATGAGCTGTCTCATGCCTTACTGCAGAGGGACACCATGAGAAACCATTCCTCACAGACCCAGGGCCACAGAGCAACAGTAGGGTAGACAGTGGATCTGCCTTTCACCTCGAGGCCTCACTGGCTTAGAACTGTGGGCTCAGTCCTAGGCTGGTTCTGGTGGGCCCATGCAAGGCCAGCCCCTTCTGGCAGTGACCCAGCCTGATGTGCCCAGCCTGATGTGCCCCATCTTTCTCCTCTCTCTCATTCTTCTGGTTTTTATTATGCAAAATTTCAAACACATACAAGTGCAGAGAATCCCATGAAAGATTGCTAGGGTCCCAGCATAAATGTCAGTGCTCTGCTGATCTTTTTTGTGACCAGTTTTTGATTTTCATTTTATTTTCTACTGAGGCATAACAGTCTCACAATAGAGTACACGGCCTGATGAATTTTAGTGGAGACTTTTCCCTCTATTCACACCTCTGAAAGCTGCATTTGGAGAACATTTACCTTCCTAACAGGCTCCGCTCCTTCCTAAGCATGCCTCTGAGCTGTATGTCTATCAATTATAAGGCCCCGTGGTGGCATTGTGTAGGGAAAAGTATGCTACAATAAATAGAAAAATGTTAAAGATTCTCTCTCTTTTTCTTTGTTTATTGACCTGGTACTAGAAAATTCTAAATTGTAAAAATGTACAGAACAACACAAATAATTCAGCTGAGAACAGCTTTAGAGATTGGCTATTGTTTTGATTTGGACTATGTGTATTAACCTTTTTATTTGGGGGAAGGGAGATATTAGGAATCAAATCCAAGGACTTCCACGTGCTATACAAGCACTTCAGCACTGAGCTATGGCACCCTAGCCCTGCAGGTGGTATGTGTCTACCTTAAAGTCTCCCTCTCTCCTCTCTCCCGCCAAACACTAGCTGACTCCAGTGGCTACCAGAGACTCAAAACAAAACCATCCCCAGCACGTGCCCAAACTCAGTGTGCACAGTGCCCTGGTGGCCAGAGATGCCTGACACGGTGTCCCAGGATCAACCTAACTAGCGCAGGGTCAGTGTTCAAGGCTGGGAAGGAGTCATCTATGCGCTCGACTCGAGGCTGCCTAGGTAGCCCTTGGCCCCTCCACACCCAAGTCGCAGGAGGTCAGACAGCCCTGGGATGGTGACAGCCTCTCCACCTCCACAGACGCTGCAAGAGATCTTCCAGATGGAGAACACCATCATGCTGCTAGAGAGGGCCATCATGGCCAAGGAGTGCCCACTGAAGGTGGCCCAGACGCGGCTGGAGTGCCGGAGCCGGCGCCCCAATGTGGAGCTGTGCAGGGACATTCCTCAGTTCAAGTGAGTGTGGGTGCATGGGGGTGGGGCCCTCTGTGCTCCCCAGAGGCCAGGGTGGGCCTCGGAGCCTAGGAAACCTGGGCCTGAACTACAGAACCTCCATTAATCAGAATGTCCACTCTTACAACTCAGCAGCGTGCTGCATGGGGCTAGAGTTGAGCCGCCCCAGCCGTCTCTCTCTGCAGCTCCTCTGCCCCCGCAGGGTGGCCGTTGGCCGTGCATCTTACCAGGGGATGCTTTTGTATCTCTGTGCTTGGGAAACCTTCCTTCTTGGCTTCCTGAAAGCCAATGAGATGCCAGGTGTGGTGATGTACACCTGTAACCTCAGCTCCTTGGGAGGTTGAGGCAGGAGGATTGCAAGTTCAAGGCCAACCTGGACAACCTAGTGAGACTCGGTCTCAAAGTAACAAATGAGCGGGTGGACTGGAGATGTAGCTTGCTGATAGAGTGCTTGTCTGGTATATACAGTGCCCTGGATCCAATCCCCAGCATATAGAAAAGAAAGCCAAGGGGACAGAGCGTCCCAGGCAGAGACTTGGCATGGACCCATGGCTGCTTCATCGTCCCTCTCCAAGCTCCGGAGGAAGAAGTGCTGGCTCTTGCCTCTCTTATTTCACCTTCCTCCTTGTTCTCCCTAATGAGACCCTGGAACAGCCAAAACCTTCCCTTGCCAGCTGGACCCCTCAATCCCACTTAACTAAGGGGCTGCATCTGTTGGCAACAGGGGCAGCTGGGAAGCTCGTGCTGGCCCAGGAGGGGGTCCTGGAGCACAGGGTAGGACCCTAGGCCTGTTCCTGTTCTGGCATCCTTAGCCTGTAGGGTTTCTCTCCAGTCTCAGCTTCCACCTTCACCTGGCCTTGTTCCCTGTGTATTTCTACATGCTGAGCCTCCCTGGCCTTTCTCTCATAAGGAGATCTGTCACTGGATTTAGGACCCACATTGAATCCAGATGATCTCATCTTAAGGTCCTTAAGGACACCTGCAAACACCAGATTTCCAAGTAACACCACCCCCACAGGCTGCAGGAGTTAGGACCTGGCCAAAGCCTTTCTGAGGGACACTGGCAGCCACTGAAGCTGGCAGTCGTGGCCAGTCCTGAGTGTGTTCCTGCTCCTGCATTTGCCCTTCACAGATGAATCTTTATCCAGCAGCCTCCACATCTTCCCATTTCATCTTCCCCTTCCACAACTCCTCAGGGAAATGGGGACAAAACTGAAGTCCTTTGCTTTTGTATGTGCTCTTCTCTTTAGAAATCCACTGTCCAGTGGCTGGCAAGATAGCTCAGCAGACTAAAGTGCCTGCTTAGGCAAGCTTAGACAAGTGCAGGGACCGCAGTTCAATCCCCACCACCACATGCTGTGCCAGTCCCACCCCCAGGGCAGGCTGAGCAGGCCAGAGTCTGGGCATAGTGGCACATGCCTGTAATCCCAGTGCTGGGAAGGCTGAAAGCAAGAGGATCACCACAAGTCCAAGCTGCTTAGTGAGACCCTATAACAACCAAATACGTACATACATACATACTTCCATACATACATAAACATAAGTCCACTGTCCTTCCCAGCACTTGGGAGACTGAAGCAGAAGGATCACAAGTTCAAGTCCCATCTGGACACTCTCATTTTTACTCTCTGCTCCAAAGTCCCCTCCTCAGAGAAGCCTTTTCAGTGCCTTTGGAAAATTTCTCAGCAGCAGAGAAGGGGGCTGAGGCAGCCTGGCCTCCAGCCTGAGGCGACCCTGGAGTTGTTCCAGTCACGAGGCAGGGCAGCCTTTGGTGTTGGAGTCTGTCGGCCTTGGGCCATCGTTCCCTGAGCTGTGGACCAGTGGCCCACAAGCAGCCAATGCTCAGAGCTGCTGGTGATGGAGTCCCAGTCCATAGAGGAGACAGCAAGACTGCAAGAGTCACCGCGGACCCAGCCTCCCTATCAAAACGAGACTGGCCTTGTTTGTCATCTGCAAAACCCAATCTCCAAATAGCTAAAACCTATTTAAAATACACGTAACAAAAACTTCCTTGTACTGCAGCTGGCTGTTTCACAGGATGCATATGACACACGTCATGTTCGTCTGTTCTTCTCCTGGTGGGAATTAGTTGCTCCCACCTGGGGGGCCTGTGAAGCATGCTGCTGTGAACATTTGTGCATCTGTTGGCGCGACACCTGTCCTAAGTTCTGCTGGGCATGGATTCAGGAGCAGGACTGCCTACTGGTGATGGCAAACCTGCAGCACACGTGCCACAGCAGGCTGCTTGCTATCACCGAAAGCTCTGCAGGGTTCACCATCACCAGCAGCCCTCACTCTCACCCCTACTGAGGAACCACCAGCGCTTCCCATCCTGTTTCATGGTTGGGATCCAGTGTGTCTCCTGAGAGACTTGTCGTGTGGAGAGCTTGGATCCTGTTGGGCTTTTTGGGAAGTGCTGGGAGCATGAAGACTGTCTCATGAGGGTTGTGAGAGCGAAGTTGGCGGCAGTGTCCGGAGCTGGTGGAACAGGAGTAAGACCTGGTTAAAGGAAGTGTGTCATGGAAGGGTGACTTGGGGGACAGTATCTGGTACCCAGACCCATCCTCTCTGGCTCATTTCCTCCTTTCTGCTTCCTGGCCTACATAAGTTGTAGGCTGTCCTCTCCCCCTCCTCCTCCTCCTCCTCCTCCTCCTCCTCCTCCTCCTCTCCACCATTCTGCCAGAATGTTTCTGCCTCACCTGGGTCTTAAGCCATGGTACCAGCCACCCATGGGCTGGAATCTTTGATGCTGTGAAGTCAAATAGACCTTTCTTCCTTTAAGTTGCTATTCTCAGGTGTTTCGTTATAGCTATAGAGTGCTAACTTACCATACTGTGTCTCCCATCCTGTTCCTTGTTTATGTGTCACCTTGGTGACTCCCAAACACTTGAGCCCAGCATCCTCTGCAGGCCTGGGTCTTGTTGTTCACTCTCAGGCACAGTTCTACTGCACAGCAACTGTGTCTTCACTGAGTGGCTGAATAAACGATTTCCTGTCCTCTTCCCACTCCCCAGGCTCGTGAATGAGGTGTTCACCATCGATGACACCCTGCAGACCCTGAAGCTGAGGCTGCGGGAGGCACAGGACACGCTGCAGCTGCTGGTGATGACCAAGTCACGGCTGGAGCACGAGTTGGCCATCAAGGCCAACACCCTGTGCATTGACAAGGAGAAGTGCATGGCCATGCGCAAGACCTTCCCCAGCACCCCACGCCTGGTTGGCTACACCTGTGCTGCTCCCTGCGTGGGCCCCTGCACCCCCTGCTCCACTCCAGTTTGCTAGACTGCATGAAGTTCGAAAAGGCCAGAAAATAGAAGAGTCATTTTCTTCCTATCATGAAAATATATATAAGAGGCAAAATAAATGTGCCCAAATCAAAGCTCCTGCAGCTCATGCTTATGTGGACAGCTTCACGGGAGGCAGGTTTTGATCTCTGGAGAAGCCTGGACCTTGTGAGGCTTGGAGCTTTTCAGGGATGGAAGAGACAGCCCCTTGCTTCCTTTCTTCCTTCCTTCCTTCCTTCCTTTCTTTCTTTCTTTCTTTCTTTCTTTCTTTCTTTCTTTCTTTCTTTCTTTCTTTCTTTCTTTTTTCCTTCCTTCCTTCCTTCTTCCCTCCCTTCCTTCTTTTCTACTGCCTGTCTTCCTTCCTTTCCTCCTTCCCTTCCTCCCTCCCTCATTGCCTCCTTCTCTTCCTTCCTCTCCCACCCCAGATCTATCCATTTAGAACAGAGATGGTTAGAACCCAGAATCCAGAGCCCAGCTCTGTCACTTAGCTGCTGAGTGGCCTTAACAAACTCTCAACCTGGGTTTGTCATCCTTGAAACGTGGTCCATCTAAGTTGGAGGTGATTGTCATCACTGAGGGACAGTGCCAAAAATTCTTTTAGAGTTAGAAATCCTGACTTTGAATCCCTGTGTCAGTAGATAGGTTGTTTTATAAATTGCTATGGGGAGAAAGGGGGAAAAACCAATTCTCTAGGCCAGTGAGAGTTGGGGAAAACTCTAGGAAGAAGTGGAATTGTCTCAGACAGACATAAAACTGTCCTGTGTCCCTGTAGCTCATCTCCCAGGTACATAGCGAAGAGAACTGAAAGCAGGGGTAGAGTCCTGCATGTGGGTGTAATTATTGCCACAAGGTGGAAACCACCCAAATGTCTATCAGTGGATGAATGGGAAAACAAGATGCATCTGATGCATGTCATGGACTATTAGGGGACCATAAGAAGAAAGAGGCTGTGGGCTGTGTCTAGGGATACAGGAAGGGATACTGGAGGGATGGGCTGCTGAGCAGGCAGAGGACCACGGGAGCGGCTGAGAAGGCCTAGAGGGGCAAAGAGAACCTGGAGGAAACAGTGGCAAGGGCACAGGGAAAGTTGCAAGAGAGGCTATTCAAAACATTCAGAACCTGGTGAGGAAAAGTGAATAAAGAAGAGAGAAAGCCCTGAGGAGACAAGCATCCTAAATAAACCATTGGCTAGGTACCATGGAGCCCTCTTCTGGATAGTGAATTGATAATATGCATATAAATGTCTTTTTGGGGATGTGATGCTAGGGATGACTCCAGGGTCTTCACACTGAGCTATATCCCTGGATCTTTTTTAAAATTTTTTTATTTTGAGACAGGATCTCACTAAGTTGCCCAGGCTGGACTCGAACTTGCAATCTCCTGCCTTGGCCTTATAAATTGCTTCCTTAAGGCTTTATCTTTAGAAAACAACCCAAAATGCAGACTCAGATGTATTTATTAGTTTTATTTTATCAGGAAGTCACCATAAATGATGTCTAACAGCAACACAATGGAGCCACGGACTACCAAGGAATTTAAAAATGATGCTTGCCAAATGGTCGAATGCTGAAGAGGCATGCTTAGAAAGCTAGAAAGAGGGTAGGAAATGGTGATTATAATCTCTTTCCAGTTGTGTCAAAAAAAAAAGTGCCTAGGAAGCAAGGTTGCATTGAAATCTAGCAGAATGTTAACAGAGCGAATGGCAAGCATCTGCTGGCTTTTCCTGTGAATTTTACAAACTTTATGCACTGAAAATGTATTCCTTTTTTGATCGAGAGGAAATGCTTTTCTTAAGCTTCTTACTTTACAATAGTTCTAGATCTGCAGAAAAGTTGCAAAGACAACACAGAGTTCCCTTAGACCTTTACCCAGTTTCCTCTGATGTTAACATCTCATGTAGCCATTTGCTATGGAACTTTGTCAAAACTAGGAAATTAATCTGATACATTGCTATCAAGTGCACTCCAGAGTTTATTTGCATTTCACCAGTTTTTCCATCAATGTCCCTTCTCTGTTCTGGGGTCCAGTCCAGGTCAACACACTGCACTGAAACCTTGGGCGACCCTAGTTTTCTCTGCTGTGACAATTTCCTAATTTCTGTTTTTTGGTGACCATGACTATTTTCAAGGACATTTGTCTGTCATTTGAAGAATACACCTTAATTTTGATGTTTTCTCATGCTTTGATGGTGTGATAGTTCATTGTGTTGTCAGCTGAGGTAAAAAAAAAAAAAGCCTAGCTGATTGGTTTAGCATAGTCATGGTTGTGCCTGGGTGTTGAATTTACCGAGAAGGGAAGACCCAACCTGGGTGTGGGTGGCAGCAAGCTATAGGCTTATATCTTGGATGCAATAGAAAGAAAAGAAGGCAGTCTGACTTCTGCTTGGGAGGAGGGGCTCTGGTCTTCACTGTTGCCCTTGCATATCCACCACTAGGCTTCCAACACAGACCCTTGGGCTTCCAAATATAGATTCATGTGGAACTCTGCAGTGAACGCCCAATCTTTGACCTTAGACTGGATCCCTAGCTCTCCACACACAGATGGCGGCTTTGCATTTGTTTACATCTAATGCTGCAGAGGACTATATAAGCCTATCTTGTAAATCCTTTCTATATCATATATTTTATGTTAAATCTGTGTCTCTAGAAAACCCTGACTGGTATCAATTTTGGTACCAGAGAAGTGAGGTTATTGCTGTGACTACCTGACTCAAAAGTCTGGAAATATCTGTTTTGTACTATCAAGAACAATGTAAAGATTTACTTAGCCTACAATTTCTTCTTCTTCTTTTTTTTTTTTTGTGGTACTGGGAATTGAACTCAGAACCTCATGCTCATGAGGCAGGCACTTGTGCCATTGACCCGTAATCTCAGCCCCAAGTCTGGAAATATTTGGAGACATTAGCTGAAGAAGCAGTCCTGAAATGCTGGGAGCCAATCTTGCTGGCACACAGTAGTGTCCTGTGAGTGATTAGTAAATGGCCATGCCAGTGCATACGGAGGCCTGGGGTTCCCTCTTGGACTGATGGCTGCTTTCTGAGTTGTAGGAGACAGAGTGCAGTGGCACTTGGGCTTGGAGAAAGTGAGTCCCTCAACCCCTTGTGCTCTTTTCAGCCCAGGGGCCAAGTGATGTGTGACCACACTGCGGCTCTCAGAAGCTGGGGGCTGGCTGCAGCTCCGTGGGGTGTCTCCATAGCCAAGGCACACTATCTTAGCATGACTGCAAGGGCTGGCTCACTGCCAGTGAAGGCACTGAGTGGAGACAGGAAGATTTCCCAGCCAAGCACTTGCTTTCCCTGTTAACTTGGAGGGATGTAATCCAGCTGGCTCCAGGGAAGGCATCACTCCCCCAGGAAGGAATGTGTGCATGTCATTGTGTGTGTGTGTGTGTGTGTGTGTGTGTGTGTGTGTATGTGTTCATGGATGTTTACAGTCTTCTGTTCTCATGGCCTGACCAAATATGGAAGCATTTTTCTGAACACCAGGGCTGGTGCTAGAAACTCAGAAGCTTTGGAGGGAAATATGAAAAAGAGAGGAAGTGTAAGATGTGGGGACTGATAAAGCTGTGGGCATAGACCCAAGCCTCAACCAAAGATAGTCTTTTCCTTCTAAAATCAGAAATAATACAAGGAGTCCACTGTCACCACTCCTATTCAACATGGCCTTGAAACATTAGCAAGAGCAATTAAGCATGAAAAAGAAAATAAAAGGATACAAATAGGAAAGAAAAAAAATTATCATTATTTGTATATGACATGATCTTCTGTCTAGAACATCCCCAAATGCCACAGAAAGACTGTTAAAATAATAACCATATTCAGTAAAGTAGTGAAATACAAAATGCACAATGAACCCACTAACAGTAAAATAAATTAGGAAAAAATACCATTCACAATAACAGTAAGAAAAATTAAATACTTAAGAATTAATCTAA